GAACTGTGGCTCGTGTGTTTTCCTTGATTCTTCCTCGCCCAATGCTAAGTGCGCATTTTGAACCTTCTAGTGAAACCAGCAAGACATTTTGTTAAAAGACGATAATTCAGCAGTCCTTTCTAAGACGATCCAACACCATTTCAGTTCCAAGACGGCCCTTTTTTTTCATACGCCAATGTCGTCACAAAGCACCGGTGAAGGATATGAAGGCAAAAGCCACATGCGGGTGAATTCTTAATGGAGTCCTCAGGGAAGGGTGGAAATAGCAAAGCCAGGAGAGAAGGACAGAAGGCCGCAGACAGGAGGGGACGGAGGTGCAGACCGGGCTGCTATCAGGACAGACTCAGAGAGGGGATGGCACAGAGCAAGATCACAACAGGAAGCCTTGATCTCAGAGTCTGGCCGCTTCCTTGCTGGGGAAGGGGCAGTCACCTGGATTACACAAAGACAGCATTTCAGATAAACATAAGGCAAAGGCACGGGTTGGCGCTCAGGAAACAACGTTCTCCAAGTGGATTTTCTCCCCCAGGATGCCCAACCCCAAATGAGACACTGTCATAATCCCAATATCAAAGGACAGGTTCCATGGATGGACCCACCAATGGAACCAAGAAGGAAGCTAGAGTTAGAGACAGAGCCCCTCTCATCAAGAGGAGTAGCAGGAAGTGTTCTCCCTTACTGCTAAGAAACTGAAGGGCTGATTCTATCAAGAGTTTAGATAGAAGCCAGTCAGTCTCCCTGGTTGATAAGTACAGCTCATTTTTTTTTTGGAATATCAGCTATGATTTTACTGAGGAAGCCTGGGTACTGAAGTAAACAGGGAAGAGACTTTGGCTTGGACCACATTCAAATGGGGCTGACATTGTGTCCATCTTAAAGACTGCAACGGAGGAGAGACAGGATGTTCACTGCTCGGTTAATGTGCTAAAGATGAAGTCCTTGTCTGGACTGAGACTTTCTGAGCAGGGAGCTCTCCCTGTAGAGACTCTGAAATTTCCATGCTAATTAAAATTGTGAACTCTATCCTGGGGGACAATGGAAGACAAATGCTTATATTTTAAATAAGGAGGCTAGCTGCTGGGGAATATAGGTGATAACAATATGATGTTAAAGTAAGTAGAGAAAAATGTGCATAGTACCCTCCTCGTGGATGAGACTATAAACAGAAGCACACACAGCAGGTGGCTATGACCCTTCTGGGGAGCACCTTTAGCCCTTGGACACTACACCATGAGCCACACCTACATGTGCAGGCTGCCCACGAATGTCTGCTGGCAAGAAAAATCCACAGAGGGGAAACGCTGTGTGTGCAAAGATGCTGATGGAACTACCCAGTCAATTAACCAACCAGCAAACACTAAGAAATAACCCAGACGTTTGCCCATGGGGAAAAGGAGATTCTACCACTAAGCATTATGAAGTATTAGACATCTACTAAAAATCATTATAAGCTTTGAGAAATAAGATGATCTTGGTGTGTGTGTGTGTATGTGTGTGTGTGTGTGTGTGTGTGTGTGTGTGTAGAAATGAGATCCCATGAAGATTTGAAAAGCTAAAAGAAAAGATGAAATTGTGTTATGGGAAGGTAGGATATTCACCTGCCGCCTTCTTGTTCTTCTTCTTCTTGTTCTTGTTCTTGTTCTTCTTCCTCTCTCTCTCTCTCTCTCTCTCTCTCCTATCTTTGTTGTTGCTCCATCATTTAGACACAATTCACAACAGTTCCTTCAGTGATTGTGTGGATCCTATTTTGTGTCATTAGTATTCTACAGTGACTTCAACCAAACTGGTTAAGCACAAAGTTCACACACAGGATAGATAGTGCTATTTTAGATACTTTTTTTTTAACCTAAACTTCTAAAAATGGTACCTGCTTGGTGACCTGAATGGACAGTGATTTTGCAAACCAAGGCTTTCCGGCCTAGCATTGACCTTCATGAAAGCCATTAGGCTTCCTCCATTGAAGTTCAAAATAAAACCGTCCATCACCCCATTTTAAAGACCAAAACCACAAGCCACAGGCTTCAGCCACTGACAGAAGATGCTTCAACTTCTTGCTTCCTATTGATGAGACGCAGTGAGGTTGCTCTTACTCAGGCATGAAAGTGGAAACCAGCCACCTTTGAGGTTTAAAGAGACAGAGAGACTCAGAAGAAAATGACCACAGAGGCCCTGGCTCACTCTCTTTCCATTTTGAGGTGGGTTCGATAGCCTCCGAGAGTTCTGGTTCTTGAATCCACCAGAAACTCTCAACCCAGGCAAGTAAGGCTGGTGCACCTCTACTTAACATCAAAACAGAAGAAAGGGCCTGTTGGGAAACACGATATTGGGGGGGTCTGGCCCCAATTTTGCCAGATCCATGCACAGTTTGTTACCAGGCAGGCATTCTACCACTTCAGCCATGCGCCCAGCCATGAGCTGTGAAGTTTATCCCAGACAGTGGCCACAGGAAGAGGGTGGGAGGTCAACTAGTCTTACTCTGTGAATAATTCATGCCTGCTATATAGGCTTATTGTGTGTCCTCTCTAGGTCACTGTAAAAGTGTGTGGGTCTAAAGGCAGAAGGAGGTGGAACACTCTGCATGGTTTTTGAGTGAAAAAATCAATGGATGATGGAGACCTGGTCTACATGATGTGTGTGTGTGTGTGTGTGTGTGTGTGTGTGTGTGTGTGTTCCTAGTGCTTGAACTCAGGGCCTCTGGCTTGCAAGGCAGGTGCTATACCACTGATACCATAGCTCCACTTGAGTAATTATTTAGGTAGGTTTTTCCCAAGGTTGGCTTCAACCCCTGATCCTCTCACTCATGCTTTCCCTGAGCTGGGATCACAGGCATGAATCACCCTGCCCAGTGGCTTAGGGGAATCCTCTTCTTCCATTTCCAAGTTCTCACTGGGCTGACTCAGGGTCTATGAAGAATCCGTGGGAGGAAGCAGGCGACCTGCATGTTCTCTTTGGTTCTGTGATAGTCAGGTGCTCCCTCTGGCTGATGCTGCTCCACTGCCACTTTCTTCCTGGCTCCGAGGCATGGCGGGTGGGATACAGTCAGGTGTAAAGTTGCCTCTCCTCAGACACCAGTGGTACCTCCTTTCCCCGTAAGGAAGCAGCTGTGGCTTCTGGCAGGGATGATATTTGGGGCCTGGACATCACCGAGACCTGGGTGTGCCTCATAACTCTACCAACTCACAAGCTCTGGGCATGCTGGGAACTCATAAACGCCCCTTGTCTAAGTCTTCTCTACTGTAAGATGTTAAGAGGCCACTGCTGGTGGGCTTGTGGTCACATGAGAACTTCGAGACGATGGTGTAAGTCCCCTTAGCGGCCAGTGGCTTGTGATCATTCTCACCATGAGAAAGAGGTGATTTTGGTGACCATAACAGCTAGTCACCAAGCATCGCCTTTCCCTTTAATAAATAAAATGGTGATTTATTGAGCCTGCTATGCCACAGGAGCAGCTCAAGGCACATGGCCCCAGATGTGAAGAAAATAGACAAACATCATAGAATTTGTAGTATAAGGAGACAGAAAGCCAGCAAGTTGACTCATAATGTGTCCAAAAGCACTGCTTGGAGGAAGGAAAATAAAGGGGCAAAGGAGGTTGAAAGGGGTGACATCATGAATGCAGTGGCCAGAAATGTCACCTCATCTAAAGCAAGCAAAGCGAAGAGGGAGAAGGCTCTGCAAAGCCTCTCTCCACCAGAGGGAACCTCACCGGTAAAGACTAGAGCAGGCTGGGAGTGGACTTGGCCTGTTGGACCATCACGAGAAGGGCAAAGATGGCTTCTGGCGGAGGTGGGGAATGAGTTGGAAGCTGATGGGAGAGGCAGGTGATGACAGAACTCACGGAGAACGGCTGGCCTTAGCGACACAAAGGCTGTGCTAGTTAGTGTTGGCTGTGGTTTGTGCTCTGTTTTGCAGTTGGGGGGGGTGGAGTGAGGAGGGGTCTCCTCTCCAATAGGATGGTTCTGTTGGGGCAGATTAGCCTGGGATGGCTACACTCACCAGTCTCATGCTTAGTGTGCCGTGTGGTCCAGCGGTGACTGTTTCTCCTCATCCAGCAGGCCAGCCCAGGCTCGTGAAGGCAGTGGTTTCCAAAGGGCAGCCAGAAAGGGCAAGCCCTAGTGTGCCAGCCCAGGCGAATCATGTGGCCCATGTTAAGACTTTGTGTGGGAAGGGACCATCCAAGGTGCGGCCCGGGGAGGAAAATTAGGTGCGCCATTTCAGATGGGGTGGGCCAGCAAAGCATGCCTGCGACAGTCCCAGAACAATATGGATACTCTAAAGGAGGATGCAGCTCGAAGAGAGTCTGGAGCCAGGCTCTGAGCAATGCTGTTCGGCTGGACTGGACCCAAGGGCAGAGGCCCAGAGGCCAGGCCTGAGGCTATCCCACTACTGAGGGAAGGAACAAGGATCCACATCTCACCAGAGCTTCCCATCGGGGTGAACTTCCCCTGTCCTGGTTCACCCTACTCTTGGAATTTTCAGATGTGGTACTTGGGATGTTTGTTGAATGAATCAATGAACGTATGAAGATTTGATCTATATGACTCAGGGAGGGTCTTAAAAGATTTCTCATCGCTCCTGGCCTGAAAAATCATAGTGTAAAGGGGAAGGGGCAGTTGGGGAAGGCTCACGTCTGTCCTGCTGGCTACTCAGGAGGCTGAGATTTGAGAATCATGCTTTGAAGCCAGTCCAGGCAGAACATTCCCTGAGACTCTTATCTCCCAATTATCCAGCAAAAATGCCAGATTGGAGGCATGGCTCAGGTGGTAGAGCACCAAGGTTTGATAATCCTAGGAGAATAAACCATGAAGGGTTGAAATTCTACTCTAATTAAAAAAAAAACAGATCTGGAGGTGGAATTATACAATAGTCATTGTTCTGCTTTCTTTCTTTCTCTCACAGAAAGTACGAAGCTGGCATGCTAATTGCGTGAGACAACTTGGCCCACGGACAGAAACAAAGCACAAACACAAAACACAAACTCAGAGAAGAAACAAGAAGAGTGTTTTCCTGGCATCTACAAGAAGCGCTTTATTTTTTTTCCCCTCTAGGTTTCTTTTTTAAAAAACAAAAATAAAATAAAAAAAACCACACACACACACACACACACACACACACACACAACAACCTTGAAATGAACATTTAAAGAAACAATACAAACTTCAGACGATCCTATCCAGGCATGCTCCTTTATTAAGCCTGGGATGGGAGGAAGGGGTGAAGCCAACACCTAAGGCTAAAGCAGGTGGACCAGAAGCTGTGGGACTCCTGAAACTGTTTGAAGACTGGAGGGAACTACCTTGTGTTCTCCACTCCAGGTATTTTAAGGACATGACGCTTCTTTTCCTGCCCATGTCAGTATCGAGGGTACGATTCACAGACATTCTTTGTTATAATCTCTACAGAATTTTTTGGTATAGCTTTGGCAAGGGAGTTGATGCTCAGGCAGCACTGCTGGACCCCTCAGCTCCAGCCATTCTACTTTACCTCTGGAGCTGCCATCTTGGTCCACTGGACTATATTCTGAGAACCTCTCCCTGGAGTTGTCAAGCCCACTTGGACAGTGGGTGGAACAGTGATTCTTTTGGATTGATGCATCGTGGAGAGGTGAACAGGAGAGGGCCAGCGTCTGGCGGCAGTGTTGGTATTTTGTTGGGATCTCAGGACATCAGCATTTCTAAGAGTCCTAGCCAATGGCTTGTGCTTCTACAGTGGGCAAAGGAACCTGCACACCACGCCGAGCTTCTGCTGTCCAGCAGGCCACCACCAGAAGGCCAAGGCACCCATACCTCACTCAGCCCCGGGAAAGTGACATCGCCCCTTTACCCCAGTCATTCCTTGTCTTCCCTTGGTAGTTAACATTTTTCAACTTGTTGCAATTGCGCTTGTTTCTTGACTCTTGAGGATCTGCATGTGAGGGCTGTGTACCCCCAGGAGGCCACGGTGGTCAGGGATCCAGTGGTGGACCATTAGGAGTCCCACGGGGAGCACAGGACCCGCAGACAAGGCGTGTGCCCATCCTTGTTGGGCTCCGCTTAGCTGGATGGGCTGCCCAGCCGCTCTTGGATCAGCCTCTCGCTGAGCACCCACAAGGCCCGGGCCATCTCCTCGCTCTGAGCTTCCGGGGAGGGCAGGCAGCGACAGCAGTTGTTGAAATACATCCCTCCTAGGCCGTCCAGCTCCGGAGCTGCAGCACAGAACACCGAGGTGGCAGCTCCTTGTTGCTGGAAATGAGAGGGGGAGGGGGGAGAGAAAAGGAAGGATGAGGTCATTCATTCTAGCCATCTGGAAATTAGCAAGCAAGCCTCCCCCACTACCCAGTTCAGCATGGCAGACGGTCCTGAACTCAGAGCACAGGGCTGGGAAAAGTACGAGGTGATCATCCAGGAACCATGAGTCTATAAAACTCTGCTTGTAAAGCTGGTGTGAGTTTTTACACCTCATCTAGAAAAGACTTGGAAAACGAAGACTTCATATCAGTCCACTGTGTCAGATGACTTCCGCAGAAAGACAGAATGATGGCGTCCTTTCCCAACGCCTGAGAAACAAATCCATCTGCAACCCCTTGACTTCTCCAAGTGTAATGTAATTTGATGCCAAGCTCTTTCTAGAACCTTCTATTGGAATTAAATCCACTGCTCTTAATTGTAGTTCATCAGGGAGAAAACCTAAGTGAGGTTGGTGCCAGAACTTTCTCGTGGTGCTGCTAGAGGAAGGGTTTGTAATGCTGCGGAAATGTGTGATTCCCCTCCCCCACCCCCGTGCATGCGTGCACAGGCGCAGTCACTAATGCTTCTAGAAAGCCTTTCTCCAATTGTCAGATTTCTCTCAGATTTACAATGGAATGGGGGTGGCGGGGGGAGAGAGGCGCTCAGGGGGTATGTTTCCTTCTAGCCCCCTTCAAAATCCATCCCTCCCATCCACCTTTAGAGGGATGGTTGGGGCTGAGATGAGGGATGTGGGGACTGATTGGTGTACCATGTCATCCGGACTGACAGGAATGTGGCCAGGGATTCTGTAAAGAAGGTTAGAAATCACTTTGCCTTGCAAGCCATAATTAAAAATAATAGGTTGCTCTTCATAGACAGACACGGTACGCATGGCTCTAATTTAAAACTAATACAGTTTATCTGGCATCTTATGATTATTTATGGGTATCATAGCCCTTGCTACACCAACTAATTATCCGCCGATGGAGAGTGGGCTTGCAAGTGAGGACTGGGAAAGGCAATATGGCCGCCTTTAGGAAAAGCATGAAGGATGCTCCATTGCAGGGAAAATGGGTTTCGGTCCCTACGGAAAGATCACTGTTCTCTGCCCCTGCAGAATTTACACTGTGCTGGTGAGATGGAATCAGGCAAGGGACAGCCATCCATGGGGTTTGATTTGCATTCACTGATTGCATTCTAGAAGCACTGGGAACCAGGCCCATGGAGAACCTGGTATAATCTTAGGAAAGGGCTGTAAAGCTGTTTCATCTCAGCTCCGGGGCCTGGCTCTGCAGCCACGTTTGCACTGGCCTGAAAGGGAAATGGTCCAGGGAAGCTGGGTGGGCGGGGCGGGAGGTGGGAATGACAGGATGATGACGTGAGTGTCCATTGTCTCTGTCTGCTCCAGAATTCCAACATCACTTGGATGTCATTAAGCGGTCACTGGTTTGGTGCCTTCCCCAGTCCTCTTAGCTATGTTCGCTCTTCCCTCTAGCCAGTTAATTTCTTGGATTCAGCTGTTTTCTGTCTTTCCTGATTGGTTCGTGGGGCTCAAGTCTAATGGAGAGGAGCCCCGGCTCTCCAGGCTCTGCTGCCTTGAGTTATGATTCCTTCTTAGCACCTGTTTGGCACCATACACAACTAAAGGCCTGCAAGCGATTCAGCTGACTCAGAGGTGACCTCCAAAAGCACCTCTAAAGACAGAGCAAGGAGTAAGATGATCATCCAGCCAACACAAGCCGAATAGCATGCTGACCTGGGTTCTTGGCCCTTCCCAGTTGGCAATGGTGCTTTGCATGAATTTCAGAATATCTGTCCTGGATTTCCATTTTAGTTTATAGCTGCCACCAAACCCCAACCACGGAAGATGGTCAGGTGACTTGACTTCCCATCTACTCCTAAGCACTGAGTGAGAGAATCCTGTTGGCTCTTCTCCAAGTCTAGCCAGACAGAATTCTTCCAGGCCCAACGTAGACGTGTGCCCCAGTCAGTGGGCAGGCTGCACCCTTACACCTTGGGATGGTATTTGTGCAAAGGAAGTTTGCAGTCATGCTAATAGAAGAACAAGAGGCATGGGTTTTCCCTTTATGGAATGTGCAAGCAATTGCAATCAGCTAAATTCCACACAAATTTATCTTTGGCTATCATACTGCAAACTGCGTTTTAGAAAAAGCCCAATGTTTTAGCAAGAATTGGCTTCAGTTCCTTGCCACTGGACTTTATGTGGTATCTACTTGAAACGGTATTATGGATAGGTAGTTCTGGCTTCGTGGAAGAAGACGATGTAGGAAGAGTACAGAGGCCACCTTCAGCACTGAACAGATCGATTGTGTACTCCTGCCAGGATCTCCCTGCCTGCTCATGCTTGCTTTGACTGGTACTTGCATTATTTTTTTCTTTCCACAGTGGACAATTAAGTGGTGACAATGCCTCACGACCCCCTAGGCTTCTTGGGGAATTCTCTTTTCAGTTGCTCTGATGGCCCTCTCTGAGTGACATCTTTATAGGACATTACATGATGACAGTTTAATAACAAGTTCTTCTTTTGGGGCTCATCAGCGTTTAGATCTGAATACCATCAGCATGAGACTGGGTCACATTAGTGAAATCTCATTAGTAAACAAGGCTGATCCAAGATGAAACATTTTTAAACTGATAAAAAAAAGTGGGTTTTTTTTGTTTTTTATATAGAGCACTTTAATCATCATCAAATGACTCCCCTGCCACTTTTTTGGGCATCCATACATAATTCAGACAAGGTGAAAGAAGCATAGAAAAGAAACGCTAATAACACTGGCATCAAATATTATTTGAAGGCAGGATTTGCCAATTGTCACCATTGCTTATGAATTCACCGTGAGAAAATGATGACAGCGGCTGCAGGTCCGGGTTCCCCTGATCTGTTTCTTGAGGACAATTTATCAGGATGCATGGAGTGCCAACCACCAGAATGCCTCAGACTCAGCCCACAGTGACTTCCCGTGCGGATGACACGCTACTGAGAATGTCTGGGAAACCCAGCAGAATCTTTAATCATGCCTGAAATGCCATCTCTAATCGACGCAGACATTTGTGAGCAGCTAGAGAAGACCTGGACCATCAATCTCTACAGTGTCTGTAAAATTATCCAGGATGCATCTTTGGGATTAAGTGGAGAACATCGTAGGAAGAAGAGTTCATCATTCTCTTCCTGAAACCATTTGTCAGATTTCCAGCATCATCTTCAACCTCAGAATGCTGGGATTCAGGAAGTAGCTACCACTGATGGTTGAGGCTCTGAGATCTGAATTATCCATCCTTTCCAAAACCCCTTGTTGGGCTTAAAATGTTAAGTAGCTGCTTTTCATCAACATTTATCTGATAAGTGCTAGCCATCAATTTGTAGCTGTCAGCACAGACTACAAATGAATATCGACTCCTTTAAAGGAGAGGGTACGGAGGTTTCTGATAAACAATACATGGTAAAAAAAAAAACCACATATTCATATCTGTAGAGCATTCGTGGATACTCCGATGTGTTACTTATGTCTTAACAGAACACATGTTAGTTATACGATTAATGTTTAGTTTTCAGGTGTCTCTGTTCTACTATGCATGCTTATTTAAAAGAGAAGAATAGATTCCTATCTTAAACTATATGTACCCATGACATGCATTTAAAAAAATAGATACACTACCATGACATATCTATATTATCCAATGATTACCAGAGCAATAGATGCTCTAAGGTTGCTTGATCACAAACATATCAATACCAGAACATTGCACCACAAAAACCGTTAGTTAATCTATGCAAAATGTAGAGCTGTGGAAGGGGAATGGTCATTGCAGAGCCAAATTCCAGAGGCAAAGAGGTGATCTGCAGATTTGGCCAAAGGTGAGTGTAATCTACAAACCCTTACCTTTCTCACTGTTGCTCATCTTGGGGACACTAGGCAAAGCAAACAACTTCCCAAATGCAAGACCAGGTTACGCAACCTAGGGGGCCCTGTGAATACCCAACCCAGAGAGGAAGCATCAACCATGGTGGAGATGAATGGTGAGCACCCCAATGTATATGAAATCAATGGTGGCCTCCATGGCTTCTCCATCCTTCCCTATCTTCCTGAAAGGCATGGCTCAGTGTTCCAGAGTTTATCTCTGAGTACCTTGGTAGTTGGAAGTGAGAGGTTCTTAAAAACCATTATGGCTCCATTGCTGATTTGAAAGACAAACGAAAGGAAGCTGCTCAGGGGAATACTACTTATAGTTCTCGACTTGTAGTTCAAGAACAGTCTTTCTGTACATACATTTGCTACACATCCTTTTAGAAAGCCCTCTGGGTGATACCAGGAGGCCCATGGGCCTCTCTGATGCCAGTGATACAGCCAACCAGCCCTTCTCCTCCACTGGGAGACTGACATAATCGAATGGCACCATTCACTTTGGAATAAGCACACCAATCCTGCCAAAAATCATGTGTGGGGCAGGGGAAGAAGGGAGGGAAGCAGAGATCTGAGGGTGGGGGAACGGGAGAAGGGGTCTGACCTACACATCACTGTGTTTTCCGGTATGTTTCACCTAGTGGGACTATTCAAGCTGTCATGTTGCTAGCGTTTAATGGTAGCCTATCATTGTGGAGGATTTAGCAAGCACCTGACAAGACTCTTTTCTAGCCCTCACCCAACTCTACAGACCTTTTCAATCTCCATTTACAGGGATGCCCTCTGTGTATCAGAGGTCAAAAGCGTTTTGTCCAAAGATACCCAGAAAAAATCACAGATGGACGGTTCCAAGCACCATGAGAATCAGTGCATGGCGCCTTCTTCCACGTGTGACACACACACTGGCATGCTGCTCAGCCTTTTGTGTGTCGAGTTTCCTTGTACCATCTTGTCTTCTTGTTTACCAGGCCATGCCTCAGATGGACACGGCTGACATGGCCTCAAATTAAACATGGCGGCTGTCTGGTGTTCAGGGATATTCCCCCCCCCCCAGTGTTGATTTAGGCAGGAGCTAAACTGAAATCAGAATCA